AGTCCTTCTTCTGCTTGAGGCCTTCGAAAAATCAACTGCTAAGAGAGTTTCGGTTGGTTCTTCTGCTTTCTGTCTTTATGAAAGACCACCTAGCAGCTACGGTCTCAAATCTGGATCCCCTACCATTGCCTCCTGCTAAATGCAGTTGATAGAACAAGTAAAGGAGATGGACTTTCAATCCTATTTCCATCAGCATAAGCGCTTCGTTCAACACATAGAGAAACGGAAAAAATCGCAGGTTAGTTTGCAGCTGGTGTGGAGTATCGAATCTCACGATGATTTCTATTTGCCACACTCTTGTCCCCGCTTGAGAGCGAGCTTTTATTTGAACCAAGCTCGTCACCCAACCGTCGCCTACTCATCAAAGGGTGCCAGGCGTTCTCACTTCGCATTTCGTTCTAGCGAAGTATCTTTTTGAGAACCCACAAGGTTTGACGTGCCTCCATGTTGTTATCGTTGACGCTGATGTTTGCTTGAAGATTTATGGTGGATTGCTGCAAGTCGTTTATTTAGTTGAATTGTGTTGTTTCATTGTGGATAGGAGCTTCGTCATTATGATCCCTCCAGCGTATGTACTTCTCACAGCGATCCCTTCTATGTAGTCGCCTCCCCACGATGCTTCTTTTATTTGTTTCTTCTAAGGAAAAACTATCATCCAACAACACACAGTTGCACCACTGGTTACGGTTCTAGCGAATTGCCGTTTCCTTGAAGCCCAATGAACGTTGATATTGTGCTCGTCTCCTAATAACTCCCTTAGAAAAAGCTTTTTTTGCAAGAAAGTAACTAAACTTGAGCTTTAAGAGACTTCCTGAAAGCCACTTATATATCTTAGTCGGCGAAATTCTTTGTCGACGAATTAGCGCGGAAAATGAACTTCGCATGCATTTTCAGACCGCGAGACGTCCATAAATTCCGAAACTTCCTGAATACAATGGATGAAAACAGGTGGTTCTGGAAGCCACGAGGATCCTCTCTATGGTTTACAATTTGATGACGTTACAGTTTGAATTGTTCCATGGCTTTTCCGTACCCTAAAATATTTCTTTGCGAATTTGACGCGCGAAATTTCCGTATGTGCGTATGTGCTGCAAAGCGCAATCCGCTCAACAACATAGGAAGTTCTCCAGAGGGGCCTCTACCTATTATAAAGAATCGCTCAATGCTGATCAACCCCACTTCGGAGTGCGCCATCCTCTCGGCTTTCGGTACAGAATCGCAGTTACATTTAGATTCTGTCCCGGCACTTAATGCATGACACTTCTTTCCACGTTTTCGGGAACAGTACTTTCTGATTTATAGGCGGATTGGGTTACGTGGCGACACTGGCGAATCACGACACGAACCTGGGTCAAACTATCTAAAATCCCTGAAAAATGAAAGTCAGCAAAAAACAAGCGAGAAAATGTAATAGGGGAAAAATGAAGATGTTTCACGAGACATTCATGGCGTCCGAAATAAAAGATTGTCTAATGTTTAAGGGTGACTGTCTCACAAAAGAGGTAGTCATCGTCAGGAAGGCACCACGGTTCCTCTCTTCCTTCAGGGCATGCCTTCCTGATGAGATCCTCACTTTTATCTTCGCTGAAAATTATTCAACTTGTTTACCTTCAACGAGGATGATCACGAGTTGTTTCGATGGGTGTTAAAATGCAGTAATATTGATTGACATCACAAGACCTGGTCGCCAAGCATCAAACAAGCAGCTAAAACCACGAAAACAGATTTCCACCACTAACTGCTGTTAAGTTGAGAAATTTCTACACTTGTCTTCCTCCTAAGAACGTTGTCAGTGCTATGAGGGGCAATGAATTTGCCATGAAAATTTGACATTTCGTTTTCGCTCCGTGCTAACAACTTCTACTTAACGATTGCAGATTTAATCTTTGAATACTATTCAGAGAGTAGTTGAGCAATCAGCATGTTATTGGTCGCCTTACGGCTCTGCTCTCATTTTCTATTTAGTACTACAGTTAGGAACTCCTTTCTTCAGTGGAAGACGTTGACATTTCTATAGGAGATAGTGAACTCGTCATCAACTGGGTACATGCATTGTGCCGAAAGTCTGTTGAACGAGCTGGCTTCTGATCACATCTGCACTTGTTAGGCTGGCGATAAAATTCTGTCATTTTTTTGAACCTCCCACATCAGTTCTTACCTTAATAGCGTCAGACAGATTATATAAGCATAATACTCAAGGTATGGATCCTTCTATTGACAATACTCCCTTCATTAATTACTGCCATCTTGCAGAGACAGAGAGCGATTTTGCACCGTACGGTGAGCACTTGCGCCACTTCCCTTTTCTCACTCCGAATCGAGCCGGGCAGTCACCGAAGCTAAAATAAGGGAGCTTAAGAAGGCACATGCTCCTAGTTATCGGGCAATCTGGCTGTGATGGTAACGCTCCAAGGCCGGGGACCGCAGTCTCGAAGACGAAGAATGGTCAGGACGTCTATCAGAAGTAGACACGAAGGAGATGCCGCTTGCGCCAGAATCGTTTTTATCACAATCCACAAGGAGTATGGGGAGTACTCTTAAGGCTCACCATTTCACAATCAAACTTGGATTGCAGGAGCTGGAAATGACGAAGAAACTGGGTCGCACCATCTCGAGGATGCTGATCTTGATCGCAGAGTGGATGCTTGTTTGACACTGTTAACTTTGCATTCTGCAAAAAAGTGGCTGTGGCTCCTCATCAGGTGATGAGAGGTGGATCTACCAGAAAAGATATCAATAAACAGTGAGTAGTTCCAAGAGGACAGCCAAAGGAGGCCCGGAGTTCAACCAAAAAGGTTTTCTTGTCTATATTTGGGGATGTGCCCGGGCCCGTACATTGGCAACTACTGGTTGAAAAAGCCGCTATCGGTGCTGATCTATATGCGCAGCAGCTGCGAGATCTGAAGCGAACTGTGGATTTGCGGGAAGGATTAGTCCGCCAAGTCTATTTTCAGCATGCGAGCACACACTGACAGAACTTCAAAGCGAAGCAAATGCACCACAGCCGGGCTGGACACCTCAAACCTCGCTCCTTCTGACGCCGGTTATTTTCCCTCCAATCTAATTCGTTACCTGGATGGAAGAAGGTTCGAGACCCGTGCCCAGCGAACTGACATCGTCCGTTGCGCCGTGCCAGACTGGATCTTGGAGGGCTGGCATCCAAAAGGTGCCATAGCGCTGACAAGAGGAAGTCGACAGCAATAGTGAACATATTTGATCTTTCTTAGCAGTAATAGGAGTTGGCCTCAAAAATATAGCGAAACTTTCTAATCTAATATTTGCGGAGATGTCATCATCGAAATCATGTGTCGAGGTGGTTTAGCGCGGCATCGCAGGGTATCACAAAAAGCGAATAACTCCCGAACTTTGACCTGAACGGTCCCTCCTCCAATTAAGGAAATCGAATCGTAGGCATACATGAGTCAGTGCCCAATTTCAGTGAATTTCCAAATCCCAACCACGGCGATGTTCCGCTTTTTCTTGGAAAACATTAAAACTTTTCTCTCTTTTCTGTTTCGTCGTTTTTCGAATTTTCAAGTGTGTTTCAATCATAATCACCCAACAGCTAAGAAGTTACTATACGTTCAGCAAGGAAAATATTGCCGTGAAAAAATGTTTTCCATCAGTGTATCTATGGAAGCAATGCCTTTATAGTTCAGTATGACACATACTGAACTATTAAGTCTCTAACGTCGAGATTAATCGAAAGCCGATCGTATGATATTCTGGAAGCAATGCCTTTGATATGTCGAGATCGACTTATTGATACTGACTGGTCTGAAAAATGCGCCGAGTTTTCATAGCTGCCCGCAACCCATCACGTACACCAGATATTTACTGGAGATGCCACTACGATTTTCAAAGAAACTGGCTCTCGGCCCTTTGTCTCTGTCTGACCTTTGTCCTTTGGGGCCTGATTTACCTCTAATAGGCAGTTCGGCACTATTAACCCATTACTGCTCTGCTCCGCTTTCCAGAAGACAGCTGGCAGTTCTCGAGGGTATGTAGTTTGACCCAAACACAAATAACACATTCACGTGGCACAAAAAGTCCGACACTAGGGCCAAAGGCGCCTATGCCTAAACAGAAGCGGGAGTTTCCAAGGACCCATCTATCCACACTCCAGCTACCTGTGGTAGTTGTTACGTTAGTTGATACGCCGCAAGTGCTTTATCTGAACGTGGCGGCGACTGTGCTTTTGGTGGGGTACTTTCACTTTGGGACAATATTGTCATTGTCTTTGTCTAAAACAAGATAAAAGCTGTTGGCACTTGTCTCTAATTGAAATATCCTGCGAATAACTTATCCTACGTCATGTTCCAATGAACACGGTCTTGTTCGCTGCGGAGCCGATTGGGCACAACAAATGGCTGAAAACGGGCTGTCGCTGCGGGAATCACCCCTTCTGACGCCCTCCAGCATCCGTACCGAACAAGTCTGTGCGCAGCCAAGCTTACCACTTCTCAGCGATGTAGAGTATGACTTCCTTCAAGGTGCACGAGATGTTGTGTAAAATGGTTGTGGTGGCTGCGTTCAGGAAGTCAAATGCACGAGATATTGTGTAAAATGGTTGTGGTGGCTGCGTTCAGGACGAACTGTCTTCTGGGGCATGTCATCTGCAGTACGTACATATGGTCTGTGGCGCCTGTGGCTCATGTGCCCATTGTTTTCGCAACATTACGAATGTAACATCTGTGTTCAAAAGGTTTAACCATTCGCGAGGTCGAATTCCCAGCCAAATCATGATTTCGGCTTTCCGGAAGGTTATGAATGGTAAATGTAGCACCGACAGCCTTTGATTCTTGATGGTATTCTCTTGATAGCAACTTGTTACATTCAATGTTACAACTGAGTGCCTCTTATGATTAGTTCTAAGTGCTTTGTGTTCTAGGCTCATCACTATGAAACGAACGTCTTCTTATCACTTTGCTCACCGCTGATGTTGTATTTTGTCAGCATCTTGTCAGGAGAATGATTTTTCTTCTTTTACAGTACAAAAGATGCGATTTCGATATCTTGTCCCGAACCTTCCGGACGTTGTTATGCGACGAATTTTCGACTTCTTGTCTTATCAGCAGCTGTGTAAAGCCGAGTGTGTATGTAGACGATGGCAAAGCATCGTTCTCACGATTATGCGTCGCAATGTGCACGAGATAACCATCGACCGAGTAAGAATAATTCGATGGTCGCTTCCATCAAATCTCAATTATCACGGCTATCACTGCCTTCAGCGTTCTTCTTGGTTGGGGCATATCGTTATGCTCGAAGCAATCTAAATTCATTCCACTTCTTTAACATTAAAAGAACTTCATACCACTTTTTTTCTTCTCACCTTGTGTGGAAGCGCTGTTATTCCATCTTCAGTTCGGTTCATCAAAACCGTCAGTGCACCAGGTGATGCCGTTTCATCGGTTGTCAGTCAGCTGCGCACCGGACGCTTTCGATTTTCTTGCTGGAGTCATAAGAAGGTGAGTAATTTTCAATGTCAGATATCATAGACCTCGCAGTTTCCTCCAAGTTAGCAGATAAAGGCTGAGCCGCATTCAAATTTGATGAGTTATGCGACTCAAATACTTACAACAACGTAGCAAGTAACCCCTCAGTAGAGAAAAATCAGAAAGAAATCATACGAAAAGCTCTACATAGAACCCCTTGCTTAATTGAGGTTGTACGTGCTCAAGGCGAAGAGAGAGTGCGGTTGCACGAGGTCTCACTTGTTGATGTCAGCTGTTTTCCCTTATCACCTCACTCTCACCACTCGACGTGGGGAGAAGCAGCAGCGGAACAACCGCACCATCAGGTACCCATAAGAAATAAATGGTGGGCGGTGACAATGATTGTAGGTTGGGTCAATGATAAGAACGACGGCATCGTGGCTCTCCTCACGCGTTTTTGCGCCGCGAAAATGGTGTAGTTGTTGCCTCAGCGGACCTGACTACCTGCTCACGAGGGGACAGGAAAATCTCAGCTGAACGCGGACGCTGCCTTTAACATGAAACCATTCAGCCCTTCAATGTAACTTTTAGGCGATTGTTCTCTACAACGACAACGACTGTCGGTTAAGAATAGCTTCAGAGGTTCAGTTGACACTAAGCGGTAATGAACTTGCACCTGAAGGCACTGTCCACGATCATCTGAGGATTTGTTCCTTTCCGCATGTAAAGGGACGGATGCCTAGCTGCAAAAGGCAATTTTCGATATTTAAAAATGCGCAAGATGGACGGCGAGAGCTTGTTAAGTACCCTCTGTGTCGAAATATTCTTCTCAACCGATAATCGCCACATGACGAGTGAGTAATGTGATCATTGCAATAAGATAAGAAACAGCAGGAACTCAAATGAGGAGAGTGGGCAAGGAGGTGTGGTTTCCTGGGGAGTACGAGATCCACCTTGCGGCAGAAGAGGCGTTGCAAGGGGCGCCACATGTACACAGGTCAGGACATAATTATTAACTCATCCAGTTAGTTCATGAGTCGATCCGAACCTCCAGGCCTGTATCTCGTGTCCCCGTTTTCATTTTTTAGTTTCAAACTCGATTCCGCCGCGAAATACGTTGCATATCATTTTCTTATTGTTAGACTTTCAGTCGCTCATTTAAGTGGACATTTCCTATGAACGGAGTTCACAGCTATTAAAGCACTTTGGAATGTAGACACCGAAAATCTGCCTCCAACAGATTCTAGTTCAACACTTTGTTACCCTTCCAAAAAAATTTTTTTCTGAGATGCCAAGAGAAGGAATTTCCTCTATCGCTCAGCCATATTTTTCCTTTCAGATCACGCCTGTCACTCATAAGAATGACCGCTGATATCGAATTCCTCACTGAGCTCAAATATGTTAGTTGGTTGTTCATGAAATTACCTGGGGTGTTAACTGAGGACATATGATTGAGGTTTATGTGAACAAGGATGAAAGAAGAAGGTACTTCTCGAATGTCGACGAGCTATGGCTGTTAATTGTCGGCTGCAGTGATAAAATTACTGAAGGTTTCCTCGAAATAGAAGAGAAGTTATTTAGCGTCAGTTCTTTGATCATCTTTAAACATCATGTCACTTTATCGTACACTAATACTACTGTATTCGCGACCAAGTTTTAGGAGATCAATTTTCTCACTCTTCAAGTGCACCTTACCACTGAATGCTACCGGAACGTCGCTGCAGTGATAAATGCGTTCACGACGCGCCATCCCAAGGTGACATTACGCCTCGAACTTCACGCCGAGAAGAGTTCCATGGTATGTGCGTCTTTATTAAACGGCAGTTAGTCAGTTCGACAAGTCTTCGGGGGTGCTGTTCGGGGTTGGAGATTGGAGACCATTAGTCATGATGCAAGCAAACATAGGCGTAGTGTCACATCAGTCTTGTAATGGAACCAAACGCTTCCTCAGTTCCTGTTTCTGTTCTCTCTCTCTCCCATTTAGTTCTGTGAATAGTGAATCTTATTGATCTTTTCGGAGAAGGAGGGAGGTGGGGGATCACATTTGTCCTATGGGTAAAGTCAGTACCAGATTTAACTCCTGGTACGATTGCCCTCGGCAAGGAATGCGTAGTGGCCTCGACATCTCTGTGGTGGAACTTGGTCTTTTCGCTTCTCTTTTTGCAACGAGAAATGAGGCATATGACGACCAAAAACAAAATAAATAAATAAATAAATAAATAAGCAAACAGACTTTGTTCAGATTTTCGCTCTTCTGCTGGAGTTGCCTGCCAATCACTCTACGTAGAATCAAGTTTATTTGCACTGAGTTCGACCTCCCAATGTTTCATTTCGGCGAATTGTACAGAATTATGAAGGAACGAACCATAAAAGCAAAAAGTATTGTTGCCAGGTGAGTTGCGTTGAGAACCGCGCCTGTTCTGCTGGCTCAACATTCCTGTAAGGACTTGCCCACGTCAAGTGGTGAGGATGAGCAGTATACAGTACCCACCGTAAATCTTCAAAAAATTACGAAAAAAACGCCGATCTGCGTTTTTTTTCGTTTTTTCGTTATAGAGTTGTTCCTGTTGACTTTTTGAATAGATACCCATATATGATTAGAATCAACTCGCCGAGTTGTATCCGAGGGTATACTCACATTCCACGACATTGGGTTTTGGCCGGCGCCATTTGGCGACACCTTAGCGCCACAACTTTTCTCAACAAGGTCTGTATAAACTTGCTTACTAGGGCTATTCAGTGCCCTGTTCACGAAAGCGGCATTCACTCCTAGCCGTGGCGCCATTTGTCGCCATTAGGTGCCAATTTCGCGCCACTAGCGCCACTTTGGCGACACGACCTTTCTCAAAAAATCTGTATAAGCTTGTATAATGGGGTTTCTCGGTGCCCTGATCACGAATGTAACATTCACTTCCAGCCATGGCTCCGTTCGCTGCCATTTGGTGCCAATTTGGCGTCACTACTTTTTTCACCAAAATCTTTATAAACTCGCAGCCTGGTTTGTGGAGTGGTCATGTGATCGTCTTTTGCAGAGCATACATGAATCACGTGAGCTTGCGGCTATGGTGAGCGCGGAGCCGCCAGCGCTGCAAGCTCACGCGATTTATGAAGTGGCGCTAGTGGCGCCAAATGGCGCCACGACTAGAAATGAATGCCGCTTTCGTGAACAAGGCACTGAATAGCCCCAGTAAGCAAGTTCATACAGACCTTGTTGAGAAAAGTTGTGGCGCTAAGGTGTCGCCAAGTGGCGCCAAGTGGCGCCGGCCAAAACCCAATGTCGTAGGATGTGAGCATACCTTCGGATAGAGCTCGGCGAGCTGATTCTAATCATATATGGGTATCTCTACAAAAAGCCAGCAGGAACAACTCTATAACGAAAAAACGACAAAAAAACGCAGATCGGCGTTTTTTTCGTAATTTTTTGACACTTACGGTGGGTACTGTATGTTGGGTGATGAGGAGAAAAATTCTGGGAGTAGTATCAACTCTTTGAGCAATTATGAACGACTTTTTACGAACAGTTCATTTTTGAGATGTGGAGATCCCTCGAGTGCTTGAAATTGCAAATATTGTGTGATGCTGCTATGAAGGTGACTGTCCAGGTCAAATGCTCCTCAGGAATGCGCAGAGGTTCCGCTTGGAACTGCTCTTGAGCACTGACCATCACTCATTAATTATGGAGCACCTCTCAACAGGTCACATCATTGGTTGGGGATCTTGGTCCGGTCCATGCGACCCTCCCTCTTTTCAGGGGGTTGCTACGACCCCCGAGTCCCTCCTCATCGAGCTGCGGAGCGGGGGAGGTATATAGTACATGCGAAACAGGAAAAGCCACGAGAAGTCAGAAACTTTTCTCAAAATGTCAGGTGGGAAATACAACCCCCTCACCTCCCAACAACGAGCAAATGCGACCCTCTCCCCTTCACAGCGTTTCTGAAACAAAAAGAATCAACTATCAAAAAGAATTTTTCTCAGCCCGAATACGATCCTCCTCCCGGCGACCAGATACCTTATCGAGCTTCCCGCTTCCTGCTACTGGTAGATAAAGACTAGTACAGTGGTGTTTGAATGATTCCCGTCAAAGTATGGAAGCACTTCCGAGGTCGCTCTTACAGCTTTTCAACAAATGCTTGCAAGAAGATGTGATCCCGACGGATTGGCCCAAGAGTGTTACCGTGCCGAGATTTGAAAAGAAAAGAGATATCGCTAGCTGCACCGACCATTGACCGATTCGCCTGATGCGTCACACTTTGAAAGCTTTTGAACGTGCACGCCAGAATGAGGGGAATAGTTAATATTAGTCGTATCCAGTGCGGATCCCGACCTCAACACGGGACAATAAACGCCATTCACGTGGTTCGCCGTCTGATGAAAAAGGCTAAAGGATGGGATAAGCCACTTTATTTGGTTTTCCTGGGTCTGGAGAAAGCCTTCGACCGAGTGCCGCGTCGACTCATTTGAGAAGCTCTTCGGCATCAGCAAGTCCTGAAGCACTGCAAGCTCTGTCCGGACACCTTTTGGAGACACTCCAGTTAGCGGTTTCTATTGCAGCTCATCAGGGATCGGCTCTTTCGCCACTGTTGTTCATTCTCTGTAAGGACTACGCGACGAGGAACATCCGGAAAGAGCCGCCTCTGACGCTGGGATATGCAGACGATGTATTGCTGGTGGTCCGATCCAAAAGAAACTAGAACGGCGCGTCAACCGCTAGAAGAGAGCTGGCCAACCGCGAACTCAGGCTTAACATCAGCAAGACGGAGTAATGCGCACTACCACCGCAACTACTTCGTCATTCATAGTCGATGCCCCCCCCCCCTCTCCAGAGCAGTGAAGTTCGCTTATCTCGGATCTATGCTAAGTGGATGGAGATGCCATGGCCGACACAGCTGCACGGATTAATACTGTATGGAACAAATGGAGATCTGTTACTGGCGTTCTCTGTGATAAGAGAATGCCGATACGGCTGAAGCCAAAGATCTACACTTCAGTCGTGAAACCGGCAGGGACCGTTGGAAAGCGTTGGTCAAAGAAGCGTACCCGACAACACTTGGACAAGAACGCTAGGAAGAAGAAGGAAGTAGTAGTGTTTGGATGGTGACCGATTTAGGAGGAAAACAGCCAGTGCTGAGATTGCTGCCCATTCATCCTCTTGACACCGCCGATTGCGACAACATCAACTGTACTCTCCCAGCCCAAGAAACATCGACGTAGATAAGTCCACCATGAAAGAAATCCGTTACGGTTGTGATCGCTGCGCGTGCGAACACTACATTGTTTGCAGGATAGAACCAATCCTTATTATCACAAAGGTGATCCCGAAGGAACATCTCTAGCAGAAATGATCACAAAAATAACCGGTAAGTATGGGAGAGCCGAAAGAATGCTAAGAGATTGGCTATCGGAAGTTTTGAGCCTGCAACAAAAGTAGGGAATGCTTTGTGGAAGAAATTTGGAAAGAGAACTTCAGCGCAATTTAGGAAAAAGGGAATGTGAGTAAACTTGGGCTTTAGTTAGATGCTCGTTCGGAGTGACTTCAAGAGTATCCCGTCACGATTTCGAGCAGCGGCTTAATAAGCCTACTTTCCAGGAGATAGGAAGATACTATTACTTCGAACGTCGCTGCTCATAATAATCTGGTAATGCACAGTAGCCAACACCGCCGCCCCGGAAAAGGATTTGAAGCCCTCTCAACTTTATTTCCAATAATAGGAACTTTTTAATGGGCTAATTTCGGAAAATCTACCGTTCTTCTTTTGGACCTGATTCCCGAGTTCTGGTCTGTATTTATAAAGCATCCCCACGGCGTAATGGATTATGGACGATTTGCAACATTTGTAGGCTTGAGAAATACTTTCAGAGACTGGACGATTCACTTCGATCGCTGCGCTCCCATCACGGCTTATCCAATTGACACCCTGCGGATCAGCAGCTGCACTGTGCAGTCAGCGGACGATCTCATCGAAACTCTGAGGCACACTGCTCAGCAACAGGTCAGGTGGATTTTGCCTCACCACAAAAATGTTCTGGTGAATGCTGATCTTTCCAAAAAACATGTCGTCGGCAGCCTGAACGGCGTGTTAGCCTGCAAGCTCCTGATCGAGCAGGGAGGTTGTCTGCTAGGGGTGGTCATCTCATAAACTTAACGACGATTAGGGTGAGAGGGCCAGTAGAAATGTTTTAAGGATAAAAGAGAACAGGAAGGTACCAGCGAATCATCGCTTTTGTTTTTTTCACTAATCAATATGAGTGAAATTCAGATACCTGCTCAGCTAAGAAGTATATGTTTTCGATTTCGAACGTAATTACTCATCCTCACAAGGTCATCGTCTGAGAATTCAGGGGAAACGGTTTATCACCTGGTGGCGATGGTCCAACACGCGGCTCACAATGGGTTGACAACAGTGCTCTTTCATCGCTAATTTGGGTGGCGTAAAAGTCTTGCCTTGGACCCCGTAGTGAATCAAGGAGAATTTGACACTTCGTTACCGATAAAAGAGATAGTGCACTTCTATTAGTTTGTCGAAAGAATAAGTGGCGCATTCCATGCGCTAGGTGCACTGTACAGATGCGGCAAAATGGCATCAGTTCCATCAGGGGCTTCAGGTAGTCAGCAACTTCGCGGATTCTTGCATTGCCGTAGGTTTCTGAAGAAATTTCATTTAAAGTAAATTTCGGAAAATTTCGCCGACTGGTTTTTTTTTGGTATACTCTTCGAAGGCTTACTTTTTATAGGTGCTGCTGCTACACCCGAAACCTAAAGCTAGACAAGCAGTCAACAAAGCCGATACACACACATAAAAAAACACACACACACCACACACACACACACCACACACACCACACACACACACACACACACACACAACTCCATTTAAGGTTTACTGGTAACCATTCCATTCCAAGGAGGCTTTCATCCTCTAATATATTAATCCGCTAAGTATGTCTGTCAGTGTGTGTGTTTGTGTGTGCGTCTGTCCGTCTGTCACGAAATTCATAGCGAGCGCCGCAGAAAAGATAGGATGACAGCTCTGAAAACTGATATACACGGCAGGACGGGAACACTTTTGGTGGGTACAGGAAGTGAACCGCGTATAAGATTCGGTAAGGGGACTTACAAGGGAGGTCGTTCGGGCGTGGTGAGCTTTTTCAAAATGGTCTTGTGCATATTGAGGGGCACATACGAGGACAAGAAAACTGAGGTTCATTTTCGCTGCGCGCTTCTACGAATAAAAAAAAAACGAAAAAAATAGGTCGATGGTTCGGATCCCACCGAGGACAAAATTTGCTTTTCTACAATTTTTCATTTTTTGGCTTCCATGTTTGTCTCGATAATTGGTCCTAACGAAAACATTCACGATAAAGTGAACAATCATACTTTTATATAGCAAAACTGTTTTTCGTTCGAATTAGTTAGTATGCACAGACTCAGCTCTTCGGCGCTATGCCGGTGCCAGATGCAGCACTGAAACCGAAAATAAAGTCTAGAATCGTGATCAGCACTGTCAATTACCCCTAGGAGCAAGTTTTGAGCGAAAAATTTTTTTGAACTTTTTCGGGTTGTAGTGACCGACCATTTGGTCGGCAGTGTGAGCAGAGTCTCACATCTTTCGTTGCAGCGATGACGTATCGTTGACGCTACAGACACCGGATAACCCAGTAAGCAAACCCAAGAAGGTCAAAACAATTGTTTTGACCAAAAATTCGTATTTAGTGGTAATCAGGGCCCTTGTCACAAATATAACACCTTTTCTTGGCGTCCCACGCAATTTGGCAACAGAATAGCGCTGAACGTTCCCTGTATTGGGTACATAACGAATTCAGAGTGGAAAGAAGATGTGGCCCCAAATTGTCTACAGTTGACACCACATCAGAAGTTACCAAATTTGCAATCAGATCCACTGTATAGCCTATGAGGATCAACGTCCAGCAACAATCTTGTTCAATGGTGCGTGAAAATCGGAATAGTCGAACAGCACTGACTCATAAGGTACAGCCACTCAGAATGTGCCCATAAATGGCAAATATCCGAGTTACATTCATCGCGCAGACACAAATGGAAGCGAGAACAGCGAAATCTGAAAAATGCAAAAAGTCCACGACGCAAGGGAGGCCGAACCATCAACCCCACCCTTACTGTCCGATTGCGAAACCTTCACTCTATCCGCTATTGCTCGACTATGCTAGCGCTCTTATCGTTTATGAAACCACTGCAAGAAGCCGTTCACCCTTGAGCATGTGACCCAAGTTGGAAGCTCATCTTGCGGCGATTTTTCGCTTCGATTCAAATAGCCACTTTATAAGCAACGCGCCCACTCAGCAACTGCTCAAAGTTGCAAGTGACCTACGCCGTATAGAGGCCCAGAACGAAGCAGATTCCAAGGATTTCCTTTCACTCGTTTTTTACCTTTCCTGGAAGCGCGCAGCGAAAATGAAGCACACTTTTCAGGTCCTTGCATGAACCCCTACAATATGCAAAAAACCGTTTTTGAAAAGCGCACCACGCCCTGAACGACCTCCCTTGTTAGAAGGGGAGGGTGAGCGAGTCCATAGTGCGGGACACAGTAGTGGGACGTTAGTTCAAAGGCATGATATGAGGACTGTGACGGAAACATTATTGGCGGGTGATAGGGTGTGATACCAGTTAATAAGACCTGATAAGAGGCGTCAGAGTGAGAGGGCGACCGAGTCCATAACGCGGGTCACAGCATCGTCTAGACGTTGATTCCAAGATATGATGCAGGTTATGGGACTAGAACATAATTGGTGCGTGACAAGAACTGCTAGCAGCTGATAAGATCTGGTAACGGAAGTTAGAACGGGAGAGTAACCATATTCATAACGCGGCACACAGTATCAGCTAGGCGTCAACTCCAGTAAGTGATGTAGCGGGCGAGGTGGGGACTTCGACGGTGGGTGCCAGAAACTGATAACTGATGATAGGGGCTGATTAGGAACATCATCGTTGTCGTTCGTTCGATGAGCTTTTAAACTTCATGCAATATACCCATGTAAAAATGTTGCAAGGGGGGGGGGCAGGGGTATGTATCTCGCGTGAAACAGGAAATTTTGGGAAATCAAAAATCTGAATAATGTAACACACTTTGTGTGTTCTATTTTTTTACCTTTTAACTTTTAATCACTGATGAAAACGAACAATAATGGGAATAGAATTTGCTGATCTACTGCTCAGTCGGTACCGCATGATTTTAAATAACAGCTCAAGAGCTGACGCATTCCGTTTTCTATTATGATGTGCGCTTGGCGAAGCTGGGCTGAAGAGAAGAAGGAGAGCTCGGCGTCAGCCGGGCGACCCGACTTTTCAAAAGATTACTGGGTTACTTCGCTGTCGATTGCACTCTAGACGCCGTTACTGGATCCTCATCTCAGTAGCGGTTAGTTGGCAGAGCATCTTAGCAGCGCTGAGGCGGGAGTTCTGTAACATCTCCATTGAAGATGACTCCCGCGATCAAGTGATCAGCGAAATGCGTCCGTGCAATTGACATCCTTGTCCGCACTCGCAGAGAACATATCATTTCCGTCACTCAAAATGGCGAAATAACGAAGCAAGAGATGCGCATGTTTTGCAGCCGGTGTATCCGCGCATGTACTGTAACTCTGCAAGACAACGGCGTACAAGCGGACTCCGTGTGTACATAGCGTTGCCTGGATCATTGTAGGGCGATTTCTTTTGCTCTTGCCGTGAATGGTTGCACCCAGAATCCTGCTGATTGGGCTTGTCCTCATGATGAGCTCGTCCAAATCGCCGGCCCCACTGCTGAGGGAGGGGGGAGGTTCTGTGCTCAGGGTGTTCTCAAACTCTTTTTTTTGCTTCTTTCTCTACTGATGAGCTTTTGATGGGCTACTGGTTCATGACTTTCATGACTGCTCGGAAAGATCTGTTAGTTTGAAGTACTAATTCCAGAGATTCTCAGCCCACATTAAATTCGAGCCTGATCTCACACTGCTACTCCTCCTAGCTTCCTACAATACCTTCGACTGACTATGCAGCAATATGCTGAGGTTGACAAAAGGGTGCTTGCTATGCATTCATTTGGCCGTGGCTCAGATCCAGCAATCTGTATGTTTCGGCATCCAAAATACGGTATGTATGAAATAATGATTTGATCTGTTGATAGAGAACGAGAAAAGTTATGAACTGTTAGTTCTAACACTGCAATATCTCAGCCGGTGGGGACCTTGTATCAGCAGCCTGATCACATCGGTAACGGTCTGAAAGGAGACTGGAATCCCTAACCCTTCCTAATAATGCATCCCACAATTTGATGGAAGTCCGCGAAAATTTTTCTTAATCCTTGTAGCCCTCTTTTCATTCCAGTGGACTACCATCTACATATTTTGCTCTCTAGCCAGCCTTATGAGAACACCACTTTTGCTAATGATCAGGATCTCAAAAGCGACGTTTTCAAAACAGCACCCAATTATTCTTCGATCAGAAGCCTCCAGAGCTTTGCGAAGAAGGCATCGAACAACTCCCCATGCATCGTCGATATGTTGCAGATAGTGGTGATGCTTACCATGTTTTAGTACCAAAAAGGTGTTCTGAAAGTTATGGAATAACCTACATATCATTCTGCACATCACTCGGAAGCCGAGAATGGGTCCGCTTTTAGGTACCTAGAGCAAAGCGGGTCACTCGACCTGCTGATGGTGTTATCAAGCTGAAGACAATAAGCGAAAGTTCTGAGAAGTCAAAAACAAACGTAGGTTAAGCTTTCTCAAAAATTCATCGTACAAATTCTTTTGTCTTGATACTACCGGGAAATACGTCGCCCCCTGTATTTCAGACAAGGACAACGACGATACGAAAGAGAGCATTCATCAAGAAATTGGAGCTGGCAGGACAGTGCACACTGGGTGGACTTCAGTTTTTACAGGTTGAGTTGAGGGATCAACGATAAAAGCATTCTCTGTTTCGACGAGGTTCCTAAATAGAGCTTTTTTTTCAGGATAAAGCTCACGAAGAGCTGATAAAACGGTTGAAAGTGGTAGTTCCAGAACTAAATGTCAATTGTGAGGACATCTATTACTGTTGGTGGTAATCGCCCTCCTAGCCGCTCTCCCAGATCCTTCATAGAGCCCTGGCTTTGTAATAATTGCAGTTTATGAGTTCTCAGGCAAGATGTGATATTGAGGGGAGCTAAGCCTGTTTTCACGCTTTCGGTTTGTTGGTCAAATCCAGAGTCGACTCGTGTCCTAGCCAACAAAACCTTGCGTCCTTCTGGGGCAACTTAATTGGAATCTGACGTTTTGGGGCATAAAAGCCTTGACTCCTGCAGCGACTGGCCTCTGCAGATCTTCGCATAGGATTAAGCATTTTCGAAAGCCACGATTCTTACCGGAAGTAGGATGTGTGGCGTAACCCGAACTATGGGATGATCAGCGCTGGATGCTTTGTCTTTCTTCATCATTTCGTAGTTTTAAGAGTTTGCGAAGAATTTATTTAACTGAACTGTTGTACGCTTTGACTCTTCAATCAAAAAAATAATCACACTTCATGTACAAGGCTCGAATGAGCCCGTTCTTGTTTGTCCTATTCTTCTACTTTTTTGCTTCCTATCACACTGTTGTTTGAACATTTTTCTGCTTTGTCAAAATCGAGGCTTTGCTGACAAGATTTCTCGAATCTTGGCACGATTCTTCCGAACGATTACGCTTAATCGAAAAACTAGTAAGTGTTCTGGGTGCATATTTCGATGGGTTGAATTTTACGGTCGATTTTGGTATTCATTTCCATTCTTTATAGGAAGTTGAGTGATTTTTGTTGATTGAAATAAACACAGCGTTCGGTCCACTTCGAAGAGTGCACGGTCTCGCGCCTTAGCAATTCGGACTAGGCGTGCTTAAAGATCAAAGTGGCTCGTGGTCGCCTTTGCTGTGCAAGTAGTCTAGCCTCCAAGCTAGAAGACAGTTGACCTTTCGCGACTCTATTGTGAGCGTGGAGGCTGCTATAGCCGCTCAAAGTGCTAGTTCTAACTCATCCTCAGTCGGACCGCCTTTACTTGCTAGATGTCCTCCGACAGAGGCCATTCACTTGTTCTTAGTTGAGGCGGAGGGCATTGCTAATGCCCCTGGATTATTCTGCTCCCCTCAATTACAGTTCACTCACTGGAGGTGTATACATTCAATTCAACCCATTTCGCGAGGTGAAACGCTTAAAAAACAAGAGTGACGCAATTTTCGTGATGCAAACACGACGCACAAAAGGCGGCGCTACCGTAATCACAAATTCAGACACTGTAATGACAAAATTCCTTTTCCTTCCCAGAGTTTTTGTTGTTTTC